GTCTGCACAATACACAGGAACCACTGTGTCAAACTCGTCCGAGAGGATAAACTGAAGAACCAACAAGGTCTAATGGATAAGTTTTGCTCCAATCCCAAACTGCTATACAGACACGTAAACCATTTGCGCCGTGTTAAGCGCGGTATTCCTGCTCTGCACGCAGCATACGGCTTAGCCCAAACCGCAAAAGAGGCGGCCAACTTTCTTGGACAACAATTTGACCGTGCCTTCCAAAGCTCGCAATCATCATTCATCCTGCCTAAGCAGATAGCGCCGCCATTAGGGCTTAACCACATATCGTTCACCTCGGCAGCTGTACTGAAGAGGCTGATGTCTCTGCGCGAGTTCAGCTCCCCGGGTGCGGACGGCATTCGCCCAAAGGCGTTGAAAGTTGCTGCCATGAGTTTGGCAGGACCACTAGCAATTTTCTTTCAACAATGTAGGAACGAGGTGCACGTCCCCACGATGTGGAAGCACGGAAGCATCACGCCTATCTACAAAAGTGGTAACCGTGCTGAACCAACAAATTATCGCAAACGTTCCGTCATCAATCGAGGTGACATCATCAGTGCGTAGTGGAGTGGCGTGCAATAGCGTAGAGTAGCGTAGAGAAGCCTCGGTGAGAGGCACTGATGATGTCACGTCGATTGGTGACGAAACGTTTGCAACAAAATTGCCAAGCTCAGCGAACAGTCCAACAACCATCTACACAACCTGAACTACCAGTCTTCAATTCTATCGTCAACAAATTATCGTCCGATAACACTACTTCCTGTGATTTCCAAGGTTATGGAGTCCATTGTAGCTGAGGTTTTAATGGGGTACCTGGAGAACAACAAAATTCTCGTTCCGGCGCAGCACGAATTTCACCAAAATTGCTCCTGTACAACTAATTGATTTCTCGTGCAAACTGGACGGAATCTGTGGACGCTGGTGCAGGAGTCGATGCGGCCTACTTGGATTTCTCAAAGGCATTCGACCGTATAGACCATCGCATTCTCCTCCACAAACTCCAGAACTATGGAATCGGCGATCCTGTTCTGGGCTGGATAGGAGACTTTCTCGTGCAACGTCACCATCGAAGTTCAGTGCGGCGTACCTCAAGGCTCGGTTCTTGGACTCCGCCTGTTCTTGGTTTTCATAAATGATCTCGCGAGTGTGCTATCTTCTAACTGTATGCTATTTGCTGATGACCTAAAGGTATGGCGCACTATAGCTGCAGTGGAGGATCACACAGTGTTACAGGAGAACCTGGACAAAGAGTACACATGGTCCATCGAGAACATGCTGCATTTCAACGTCACCAAGTGCAAAGTTCTCAGTATACGGCACAAGAGTATACACAACTACCGCCTAAGACCACAAATTCTACAGCGGGCTTCTCACGAGTGCGATCTCGGCATGATAGTTCAAGACGACCTCGGTTGTTCGAGGCAGACTGAAAAGGCAGCTAAGAAAGCGAACCAGTACCTCGGCCTTCTTCGCAGAGCTTTCGGAAAGTTTGACCCTTCAGTCTTTCCAAAAATGCTTAGTGCGTACGTGAGGCCGCACGCGGAATACGCTATTCAAGCGTGGCAACCCTGGCTCAAGCACCATCTCACCGCGTTCGATACTGCACAACGTAGGGCAACGAAGAGCGTCAGAGGTTTGACCAGCCTCCCCTAACCACTCTGGCTGAAGACCTTCAAAATATACAGTGGACGTTATCGGCGTCTAAGGGGCGATCTCATAATGGTGTACCAGATCCTGAGAAACCCCAACCACCCATGCCATTCCCTTCTAAGACTCAGTCAAAACACCTCTCTAAGAGGTCACCAGTTTAAGTTAGTCACGCAGTACAGCCGCCTGGAATGTCGTCGTAATGTTTTCCCCCTTCGAGTGTCACAGCCTTGGAACGCCCTCTTGCAACATAAAATTATTGCTTCCACCCTATCCCATTACAAAAAACACCTTGACGATACTCTGTCACATTTACACTACGTGCTATGGCTCATGACCACCAGATGCTGGCACTAATGCACAACAGACAGGGGATAGTGCCATAACCCTACTCGAGAATGAGTCATTCCGAACGCCTTGCACGAAATTTGATAAACGCTACTACTATAGAAACTGAATTTCTGCATTCTGTCGACCCAAGATAGTTGCACATGAGTAAGCGTTGTCTTTGCTACCTTTTTATTTTTCTCGCCTATGATATGAACAATAACGACTCCCCTGTTGCTTTGTGTGCGTGCATTCTCATTTCAAACTCCCTTTATACGACAGTGCAGTTAAATCTGTAAGCGCCCCAACTGACGACTCCATTATCCCTTCGCTATCTTTTTTTGTCACGCTAAACACCCTATGGGACATGTCAAGCACCTGCTATTTTACCCGTTATAAAGCATTGTTCACTGTTGTTCAATGTTCATTGATATTCAATTTGTTCACTTCCAATATTCTCGTTTTCCCGGCTTCTTTATCATTTTCTTTTAATTTGTTTCGCTCATATCGTTTCTACATCGTTATATTTCCTTTTCGTTGAACTACCATACGGTTTGATTCTTATGCTCACTGCTTCGGATCATGCACTCATCATTCTCCTTATCTGTTTGGCCGTATTTTGAGGAAGTTTAAATTATTCCTCCTCCGGATGGCTTCCGCAGCTAATTTATTCATCCCAAACCGCTCGGCACATTTCCCGCCCACTAAACTACCCTATACTTATCGGCTTCACATAGTGCGCACCTAGAACGGTGGTCCATCGTTGGCATGTGACGCTGCGTTTGAAACTAATCGAAGTGCCTTCCTTTCCGACTTTCCGGTTCGTTTTTCTTTTCCTTCTAACTCTCTGTAGGACCCTGTTCTTCATTCGCACGCATACTTGACGGATGCACGTACGTATATGCGTCTGTGCGCGTCTGTCTTACTGGAATACCGAAGGGCAGCACACAGCTTGTCTTCCTTGTCAATTCCAGCGCATGGAAGACAGCCAGCGACGGCTGCATGTTGGTTGGCATTTGGGGTATACCCGTAGCTGGCGCTCCTGTTCGTTCTTTAATTACCTAACATAACAGCATCCGGATGGCTTTGACTATCGCAAGAGCCCCCCTGCGGTTTCACGTCCCCGAATCATCATACTTTCGGACAGGAGGGGAAATTAGCGAGCCTCCTTTTGCACACGTCGAAAAATCTTGTCCATGCTGAGGAATACACGTTTCACCTTTCCGCCAAAAGCATGCATTCCTCGCAAGCGATAGTGAACACTATTTTTTAGCGAAGAACTGTTTGAGGGCTCTTCTGACCCTTTTTCCTTAGGTACACGGTATTTTTTGTGGGATGATGGAAAATGCTCACAGGAGGTAAACCGAAAATTGCCTTGAAGTGCCCATTTGTTTGCAAACGCCATGAAGTGTTCACCGTTTTACGATTATATATGCGCGTAGTCACAAATTCTGGGATTCAAAAGCACTCTTCTCGAGACCACCATGGAAAGGTTGCTTTGTGGCATGTAATCTTATGTCGGTTCGCCTTCGAAGTTCATTTCCACCATGTCATCTCCATTATCGGGTCTACCGCAAATTTACCTCCATTGCTTACGACCTCTCAGCAGAATACTCTATCTTGTTGTAGGTGTCAAACTCACATACCAGTGCGAGTCATTCTTTCTGAACAACGCCTCCGTTTTCGTGTTTTGTTCATCATCCAGTCCCTCAGCTGCGTCTGCTTGGCTGCATTTCAACCGATCTCACTTCGTCCAACTTATAGGCAAGCTTCACAATACTATGTAGGCAATTTGTGAGACTATTCACAAACAAGCACTGCAAACTAAATAGCACCGATAACAGTGGACTTTCGGCAACTTTATAGCCACCCGTAAGCAGAATCACACGTCTATGAGAACGCGAACTTCTGTGAACTTGTCCACTGAATGTGTTGTTTGTCATGGCCAAGCAATTACACATCTCCCTTATCCTTTTACTGTTTGTTGTTGGAACGCAAAAGACCGACGCATCACTACGCTTATCATCCAACTGACAAGACCATTCCTTATTGACCTACTTGTTGGCATCTCATTCACTTTCCCAAGGGCTGCACTGAGCACAGTATAGATTAAAAGGGTTTGACATGCTACTCTTCTTAAACCTATCTACCACAGCGCACCAGTAGCCAAGAAACTTACCACCTCCATATTTCGAAGTAGAACGACAATGCGTAGGATGCATTTAGATGCAATTTATTGGTTCGTCCCAGCAGCTTACAAGTGCGATAACCCAGCCACCAATCCGAAAAACACCAGCCGATCGTTTCCCTCTATCGGGCCTCGTCATTGATGCGCATTCCCTCGGTCCACCGCAGGAAACCGAATCAGTGACTACTAGCAGCTTGCGCCAACTAGCCAGCAGCTTTTGCCACTGAGCCATGGAGGACGGTGACAGACCGTTACAAATCGCAAGCTACGGTGATACACCATGGGGTTAGGAAGGAAAGCTTTGTGTGGAGAATTACTTTCCTCGCGGAGCACGCTGCTATCTACTATGCTAAACCTATTCTTTTATAGATCAGCACAGACATATTGGTATCAGACACTCCGAAACATTATAATCAATCCATTTGGTTTATGGTAAGGCATAATGGACCGTGTGATTATTTTACGCATATATATATATATATATATATATATATATATATCATGTGCATCGACAACGAATGGATGACCCAGCCATCGATCGTACCCAGTGCACATCACAACAGTGCCTGATGTCACTTCACATGGTGGCGAAACGTATGCGACCATATCAACAAAATCGGCGAAACAATCAACAGTTGAACAACCAACCCGGGTTAGCAGTGTTTCATATTATTCAGATATTACTTTTCTTCATCTGAGGAGAAGCATGCATAAATTATGCGTCTGCGTCTATTGTCTGTTTGACATAAACATCACTACTTGCCTCGTGTGTTACTCACCATTCCGATCTACTCACACCGTCTCATTTCCTGTTTCTCGTTATCAGATTGAGTCATGTGAACTTATGATCGACAAGGCAACGAATCGCCATCGAGGTGGGTTTCTCTACCTTGGCAGCTCATCTGCTCCTGTTCGCCGTATGCGCTGTATGCCAGCAGTTTCCTCTTTTGTGAGGCCACTCAATATAGCCCGATTCTAGGGCACACTTTGCCATTTTCACTCACTGTACGCTGTACGTGTCAATGAGATCGCATAGTGTTTGTGCTCGGGAGCTGTTCGGATGCTCCAAATTTCTCTGCTATGGTTGCCATGTTGCAATCCATTTGTTCTGTCCCTTTTTCAATGGGGCAACAGTAGCGTTAGGAAATAGAATACTAAGCCAAAGTTTTAGGATGATTGCAAGTGGTGCTACTTCGTATTTAGTTAGTTTCCGGTCATAGATGTAACCAGCATGATAATTTTCATTAATTTCTATCCGTTCGTGCAAATCAACTTTTCAGTTTACCTGTACCAGTGTTTTATCATACATACACATCAATAATTCCATTAAACCTACACTCTAGAAATAACATTTAATTCTCTATGTATTTCAACCTGCAAGTAACATGCACAGCCAGACTGTGGGTGCTAGTCGGCTCTTGGAAATATTCCCTCCCAAACAGCTGAAGTATCTTTTCTAACCAACTTTCAAGTATGGATCTTGGTGATAAGGTTTTGTTGGGTGGATTCTGTTCCTTAGTCGATAGTGGACAGCAATGGTTAGATGTTCGAATACATTTGAGAACACTGGATCTACGCTGATCATATCGTGGTGTCGGTAAGTGAACTGATTCCCAGTCGTCGGTAGTGTTGAGCAGGACCCCTAAGGCTGCAACGGTTGAGCTATCTTCAGTACATCAATCTATGTGACTGCACTTTTCTATTGCCTTATCGTGTATCGCCCTCCAGAGTGGTAAGGCTTTTCGAGGAAAACTGGATACTCAATGATGAACTAGACTCATGAATCGATCTAGCTCCTAGGAGGCTTTGTACCATTCTCCAAAGTGTCGTAAACCGATCTTGGTCGCTAGCTCCTTTTTCTCTGCTTTTTGTACGGTTACTATAAACACGGTAGACAGATTTACTGTTATAGATCTCGCATCAACGGCGAACGTTCACTGCCGAACCGTCCGTGGTACATGCATCTAATTTGCGTTTGCTAGAAACCGACATATCCGCCTATAGTGGTTCTCTAATAATTCTACGAGTATGGAGAAGCCGATGTGAAATATCTATTCCCTTCTGATCTTAACTGTTTCTTTGGTCGAACTGGTTTGACTCCGTCTTGAATGACTAATACAACCACTTGTAAAATCAACTACCTAGGTACTTTAATGATTCGTGCTCGTGCTTTTGTGTAGAAATCACAGATGTAGCTCTCATTGGCCCCCTCAATTATCTCTGGGGCACAGTCTAACTTGGAACTCTACTGAGTCAATTTTCGACACTCGCTGGTGTGCTATTCACCTACGAATGAACTGTATTCGTGACATGGCACTGCCGCTCAGTGCGTGCCGCCCAACATACACCACTTACAGGCCAATTTTCGGAACATTTCCATCTTCTTAGTGTGTACTTTGCCCCGTCCGTGTACACTACTCCTCGTTTCGGGTGTTAGTCGCCTTAGCGTCGCTTGGTTTGTGATTATGTATTTGATGATTGTTTATAAGTCTCAGTATGCGATTCTGACCAGTTAACTTTGAGTGATGGATCACAAACATCCCTGTTGCAAGCTGGATTGCCAGTCACTAATGTTTCAGCCATTCTCGATAAGCACCTGTGTTCTTGTCTGATGAAATAGCTTTTTTGTACTTTAATTTATTATCACCTTTTGACCAAATTGGCAAAGAATATGTTGTATGTGTAGAATGCAAACCCGGAGGTCTAAGTGGCAAAAGAAAATAATTGCGCAATTCTTTTTCGATGAAGGTACTTTTCTTCGCTTTCCCCTTCGTTTCTTCTTTGGTGCGCGAGGTGCTATGGTCATGCTTCTGTTCTGCCCCGCTACTCTCCTTCATCTATCACTTTCTGTACACAGGTTTTGGATTTGTCACTTTCGAATCCGAAGAGGCTGCCGAGAAAGTGTGTGATATTCACTTTCATGACCTACACAATAAAATGGTAAGTGATCTAACGGTTGTAACATATCGTTTCTATAAAAGACGGTACGATGAGTGACCGGATTGTACCGATCCACTATGTGTTTACTTACTCACTCCATCTAAATTGGCTTACCATCTAGACACCTAATTTACGAGTCGTTTTTTGAGCTATATACCTCAGTTTATATTCGATGCTTTTTTCATGCGTTCCGCTTGATAGAGTGCAGGTGAGCTAATGTTTTAGTTTCAGAGATTTCTGGACCATCGGTTCGTTTATTTATTTGACATGTTTATTCATTACTGGGGGCTGCAATTCAATTTTATGTATCTTGGGAGAAAGTCTTTATACACGTGGGAGATTGCGTTTTCCTTTTTTCTGGCTGTTCCCACTCCCTGCATTGACATTTCACATTGTTTCACACCCACACCCTCACTTTAGTCGAAGTCACTGTGGACGACATGAACACACAAGAACTTCATATGAGTAAACTAGATTAAGCTCACTTTGCGTATTCGCTTCAAGCCTCTTACATAGGCACAGTTGCACGATTGAATTAACTCATGACGTGGAATCGCTACTAGCGATCTACAGAAACTCGAAGTAGTCAAGATTATGTCTCCTAATATCGAAATATGTAGTCTCCTAAGTCAAGACGAGTCGGCTCACCAGGTCAAGTTGTCTCCACCGGTTGGGGTTCCATCACCGACTGGTAGAAATCTGATAAACCTGGATAGACTTGGATTATTTTGCTCTTCTCATTCGGATTTTGGTACATCATGCGATCGAACAATTGCTGCATGACTGAGCTAGCGGGTAACTTTGAGCCAATCAGTGCTAAGCTTCGTGGGACGTATTCCATTGTCCATGTTAACAGCCATTGCTGTCCCGCTGCTTTACGTACTGTGGCAGATACAACTAGGTCTAGCCTCATGATTTAGCATTTCAAGGTTGAGGTCTGTTCAAGCTGGATCCATGCAATAGCTTTCTGGTTTGTTGCAGCAGCGTCGGCACAAGCTCAGCAGTAACCTCGCATCTATCTGTCGACTGGCTTAAACGGTAGCAGTCTAAGTTGCCAATTTTTCTCCTTTAAATGGCAGTGTATTGAACTCCTTTTTCTTTGCACTCTGGTTGTGAGAGTTGTCTTTGGGATCCGTCTTAGGCAGGCTTGAATTATTCCCTCTTTTTGGGCAGTACGCTATCGACAGTGTTATTTTGTATGTGCACATTACCAACTTTTATTGTTCATACGGATATGTCGACACTGACCTGTGCTGTACGGGGCATCCCATCTTGTTGTATAATCATAGACAGCAAGAAGCCCATGCAGTCCTAAATCCCTAAATTCCCTGGTCGTGACCCCTACTTTTGCAGGTTGAGGCCAAAAAGGCTGTTCCCAAAGAAGTTATGAGCTCCAACGGTTCTCTGCTCAAGCAACGACACCAATTCCTGCGGCCTCAACTGCGTAAGTTTTTATCCCCCTTACTCATTTTTGTGTTTTCACCATTGGTCCTCGTGATCGATGTTGTTCCCGCATTCTGTCAATTCAAACTGTGCTTACTCGTTCACTGTCATCCATTTGACGCACTTGTGCACGTGACCACTTGTGAATTTCGATGTTGTCTGTTTTTCCCCTTTCCTTCTACTCTCTCCTTTCCTAGTTATCCCTGTGGGACTGGTTGACACAAACTTAGAGCTGTCTAATCAGCTTGCATGCATAACAGCAAGTGACAATGAAAACGGTGAGCATCACAGCTTGTGTGTGTGTGTGTGTGCGTGTGTGTTTGTATGTATGCGCTCTCTCACTCCTTCACTTTCCGGACTTGGATTACGATCTGATCGCCTGCTTTTCCTTATCGGCGTACGCATGATCCAGCTGCGTCTGGCGCTCTGAATATTTCTATCTTATCAAAATGACTGGTTCGTTCACTTGCTAGTATAATTCACTGTACGAACGATAGGCGCTTTCGCTTATTCTTACCCGAAGAACGGCTGATACATATATCTGATAACTGACGTTGGGTGTTAAACGGTTAGTATTGCCGCAGCGGATTCAAACCGTAAATGCACACAACTAAGTTATGGGTTTTTAACTGCGAGTCGCAGTACGGTTAGTGCTATTTTATGGATCACATACCTGACAACCGCGTACTGAGAATGTCTAAACGTTACTTGCATTTGGTTAATTGAGGTTCGTCACAGCCAGCTACCAAATCAGATAGTCTTCCACATGCCCGGAAACGCACTCCTTGCATTTGGTCAGCGGATCGAACTGTTTCTCATACTAGGTGAGGGGCCGGATAGGCAACAACCGTACTCCTCCTGTGGGCTTGACAACTGTTGAATTCGAATCATCGCGCTCCGCATGTTCTCCGTCTGATTGCTTCGGAGGTATCTGGCATTACCGTGTTTAATTTGTCGAATCGTAGAAGAGCATATGAGTACTCACAGTAAGGCTGATTCGGGGTGGTTATTTCCGTCTTCCCTAGACCGACCATTTGACACTTTCGATTCCCAGGATCGACGCTTCGCAGCCATTTATAATCCATTGTACTTATAATGCTAGTTTATTCTTATGTGAAGTGTATCAGAGGAACTCCATCCACGACATCCCGGTGCACGAATCGAAGTTGACAAATTGAGCCGCCCAACGCCATGTCGGTTATCTTGGTTCTCTCGGGATTATGATCCTTACTTCTCCATCTTCGTTTTTCATTTGGTTTCAACTGATGTAGCTTGTCACATCCAACGTTTTCGCCGCTTGATATTTTATTTACATGCCTATACCTTTCAGCCGAGCGTTGAGGTACGCTGTGGACAATTCCCTTATCTTGATTACTTACAAATGTTCCGCCCAGTAACTTATCCCATTAGTCATCTGCTCTTTAACGGTGCTCGTTCGTACAAATTGGCGGAGATCACACCACACGTTCCATCGATGTTGCGTGTGCGTCAGTGTTGGTCAGCAAGTAGTATTTATTCACTCTGACCATTAGGAGTGGGAATATCCCCACTTAGATCAATTATCTGATCCATGCTCTAAGCGGTCGGAGCCAGTTTACCTCAATTTACATCATATCGTCCGTGTAAATAATAGGTGTGAATGGGAACAGAGGGAATACGGCCCGGAGATATGTCCACAGGACTAATCTACAAACTATTAATGAGTACAGAAGAGTAGTAGGGTGAGTTGAATGGTATAGGTAGAAATCCGTCACATCTAGGCTCACTCATACAACCGCTACACGCACGGAAAGGCACTGAACGCGCGTTTCATCCTTTCGGGAATCATCAGCAGTGCGCATTCCATCGTACCCTTGGTAGGGCTCGAACCCGCAACTCGACGGTTGCCAGTCCGTGGTTTAGACCACTGAGCTACGGGGGACGGCAACGACCATCGTGAATAAGTTACTAGATGTGATATAGCGCTGCTTACTATCCACTGACTTACACGTTACTGCCGTGCAGAGGACAGGGTAGCCCCCTCACCGAGCGACGAGCTTACCAAACTTAAGCCGCCAATTAACTTATGGCATTATAAGCAGTTTGGTCTGTGAAAGGGTGAAACGCGCGCACAGTGCTTTTCCGGGCGTGTAGCGGCTGTCTGATTGAGCCTAGATGTGACGAATTTCTACCTATACCATTCAGCTCCCTCTACTACTCTTCTGTAATCAATACGCAGACCAAACTGCTTATAATGCCATAAGTTAATTGGCGGCTTAAGTTTGGTAAGCTCGTCGCTCGGTGAGGGGGCTACCCTGTCCTCTACACGACAGTAACGTGTAAGTCAGTGGATAGTAAGCGGCGCTATATCACATCTAGCAACTTATTCACGATGGTCGTTGCCGTCCCCCGTAGCTCAGTGGTCTCAACCACGGACTGGCAACAGTCGAGTTGCGGGTTCGAGCCCTACCAAGGATCCGATGGAATGCGCACTGCTGATGATTCCCGAAAGGATGAAACCCGCGTACAGTGCTTTTCCGTGCGTGTAGCGGCTGGCTGAGTAAGCCTAGATGTGACGAATTTCTACCTATACTATTATTGAGTAGTAGGGGGATTTGTTGTGTATTGGAGAAGACCCGTCGCAGTTAGAGTCATCGAGACAGCCACCACACATCCATGCCACTGAACCATGGCTCAGTGCCATAAGTCGCTGACTCATAAGAATAAAGTCATGGGTTCAAATCCTGGAGGATTCGGTACTTGTGCGTCACTGATGAGTCCCAAAAGGACGAACCGGCCGTCTAGCGCTTTCCTAGATTTGTGGTGGCTGTCTCACTGACTAGTTGCTACGAATCTTCTCCAAAATCTACAGGCTAATTTGCTAAGTCCCCTGGCTGAACCTCATCCTTTACGGGTTTTCACTTGGCGCTGCGTTCAGTGAGTTTTGGCATAGTGTCTGGACGTTCGATATCACCGCCCCGATTACCTCACCCCGCGGAGGATGTACTGAACTGCCTTCGTGGCACTTCGAAGCTCAAAGGGTGGCTCCGTCATGAGATGATAAACGGTACGTCTACCGTCTCGTATGTCTCGTACGTATTTCTCATGCTAAGATTGGTGTTGCTTTTTTATGCTTTTTCACCGCATTTGGGCTAGAGTGACTTACACTTAGCTTGTTCCGCAATACACTGAATCTGATCGAATTCATATTCTTTTCTCCGTTCAGTTCTGCTAATCATCTATATAATCCCCGTTTATCCTGCGCGTTTTTATTTATTTCATTTTCTGTGTTAGTTGGTTGATATCCCTAGATCACTTGTAACCTGGATCTGAACTATTATACATTTTAAATTGCTGTTTTTATTCTGCCGCACTTTCACTGTTCAGTTTGTACATATATATTCTTACCTATTCTATGTTTGCTGTTTGACATCCGCGATGTAGCTGCGCTTGATGTGAATTTTGACAATGTTCCTAGCTGTCGAAAAACCACTACCTCGATTATACTGGCTCCAGAGACAGTTGGTCGTTACTTGGGGAGACAGGATGCACGTCCTCTTGACCGTGCTAGGCTCACAGAGTGGTTCCATCCTGTATGGAGCGTACTGTAGCCAAATCACCGCCTTGTCTATCTTTGGTATGCATGACTCCCAATTTAGACAGAAATGCTTCTGCTGTGCATGTTGAAGGAATCTGGGCCGGCTCCGCGTCGATCGTGGCTCCCATCTACCTGCCTACGAGTCTTATTCCTTCTGGCTTACACTGGATTTGGGGTGTGTGGATCGAGTTGTGGATGTTACAGCGAAAGCCACCCATGGTCCCTCAAGAGGCATAGGCGTTATGTGGCTGTCCTATGTTAGGCCGCAGCTTCAGGAAAATCCGTTATCGGTTGCCTCCAAAGGTACGTGAGCTCAGAATTCACTCGTAAATCATCTGCATGTCTACCAGTTTTATTTCGTCAAGCCCACACCGGAGTTGTGGGTGGTGCAGTACAAACCACCCATGGTCTCACCATATGCCTTGGCTCCCTGCAGCTGTTCACAGCTGCGGTGCTGTACAAATCTGAAAATGAATACCGTCAACCACTTATGTCGAGGTGGGGGGCTACCGGTTCACCTACTATTGTCACTCTACTTTTTGTAGAAGCGATCTTTAGCCGCCGTGGCCTCTCTATGCGAGTACCACTGTATCGAGAAGCATAGCCCCATCTCTTGTTACAGTTCCTCGGTCGAGTGATTAAATACCACCTCTTGGACTTATTGGGCCCAGCGGATCTCCGTTTGAATGGATATATCTTGGAATTATGTTGGAATCGGATTTTGGTAATTCCCCGTTACACGGAATAGATTCGCTTAAATTTTACACGTTCATTGCCTGTCGAATCAACATTTCCCCACTTTAAGCTTTGTGGTCATCACGATCACTTCCTCTTAAGCGCTCGATTTACAGAGTATGCCAATTAGATCAGTTTACCTTGCTGCTTTCAATGTTGAACAATTCCACCACTGTCTAATCCAGTGCTGTAATATCATTGGAACAACTTGATCTGGCATCGCTGTATCCGCTAATTGATTTTTCCGTTTGGCTCTGACCACACATTGTTATGCATCAACTCAGCTGTAACTTTCATATGAACTGGTACCATGCAGAAGTCTAGTTCATAAGACATTTCTTCATTAGTCCCGATTGGCAGAACGCTATGTCGTCCCCTTTATCCTAACCTGACTTCACTAGCCGTGGCAACTGAATAAGGCCCTTGGCTCTAAACAACGAAATTCGGTACCTACCTCACTACGACGGGCTGACAGTCGTTCTGTGCTGAATGCATCACGATTCGTATATACGAGTCTCACTTAGGAGCTTAACCGTTTCAACCCGATAAAACTCTGGTCTTTATACCAAGCAACTGAAGTGCGAAACGGCTAAACCTATGAACACAAGAAATGTGACAGTTAGCTCCCAACTCATCTCTTAACGCCTGAATCTCATTTCGATCCGCTCGATTAGTCTAGTTGGAGCACT